GGTTTAAGGGATTTGAACCTGTGGGGCAAGGAAAGGAGGAGGGGCCAGCGCAGGAAGTAATTAATCATTGCAGCTGGTCTTGAGGCGGCCATAATATCACCTGTCTGCTTTTGCTGCTTTTCTGTGCCTGGAATACAACTGAGGCCTAGATGTTACCTTTAGGGAGGAAAAGTCAGGAGGTCTGCATTACCAGCAATATGCTAGGGAGGAAAGGTTACCCTGGGGTCAAGGTCCTTGTTTTCCCAGTTTTGCCCCTTGCGAGGCACCCAGAGCTTTCTGCCCTGGTGACCTTCTGAATCGCCCACCATCCTTGCTCTGCTCATGTCTGTCTAACTGCCTATTACATTCCCCACTCAAGGATCTTGGCTCTGAATCCTTTCAGAGAAATAGAGCACAAGGTCTCTTCTGTAGCTACTTCTGCTAAAGAGAGCTGAGGCTTTCCTTCAGAGCACAGAGATCCCTGATCTCTGTCAGAGGGGTGCTGAGGCCTGGGCAGGGAAGGAGGTTGTTTGTGATGGTGTCGAGGGGCGGTATTCCCTGAGTACAAGTAGTGCTTGTAACCTAGTGGAAACAAACTGTGTTACAAATCTCAGTATTATTGGGGCAAGAATTGTAATGAATGGTCCAATAGGAGAAAAAAGGTTTAGTTCCCAATAATTCCAAGTCAAGGAATGGAAGAAAAATAAAGCATGAGTCTGGAGGCTGGGAGGCGAATATTTGAGAATACTAGAAAAATCCAGGACCCAGTTTAGTTCACAGGTGAACAATAAAGCTTTTAACTGAACTAACGTCTAATATCCACAACTATGTTTTATGGGGGCTATTGAAATAAAATTTTCCTTCTAAAATCATTCTTATTTTTATCAAGGAGCCAAATTCAGACCAATTTATTTACCATATTAAGTCCAGTTTCCATTTGACCTGAAAATTTGTATGAACACAACAGGAATAGCAATTGACCATATATTCTCATTCAGATCTACTTTGCTGGCAACTCATATGGAATGGGAAAGATGAGAGATGCACTGGTGAGTTCAGTTGTTCAAGACTAGTGTGTGCACCTGAACCCTGGCAACAAGGTGTCAGAGAGGAAAGAGATTCCATCTGGGACTTTAGGGGTTGATGAGCTCTAGCACAAGACATGTGGGTAGGGGTGGGGTCGGTTACATGGTAAGGCTAGCTGAGTCCCCAAACCTGGGCACAATGTGGGGGAGGGGAGGAGATGCTCTCTTTCAAGTCCACTATGGGAGTGGAGGGGATGAATGGGGGTGCTTGTTTCTCCTATTTGCCCCCTCTATTCTATTCCATTCCTCAGGACTCACCCCTAGAATGGATTCTGAATAATTGGTCAAAATTTGATCCCCAAACCCAAAAGAAAAAGAGATTAGCCTTCTTTTGCAATACAGCCTGGCCCCAATATAAACTGGGAACCAGGAGGCCTGGCTGAAGAATGGAAGCCTTCATTATCACACCATTCTCCAGCTTAGATTTTCTCTGCCATCACCAGAGCCAATGAACTGAAGTCCCATATGTCCAAGCCTCCATGGCCTTAAGGAACAACCAAGACCTTCGTAAGACTTGCAGCTAGACCTGCTTTGCTGGTCCCAGGGAAATGGGCAAAGGTCCGGTATACCCAAGTCTATGGCTCCCAGAGATGACCCTAAGTTATATACTACCTGTAAAGAAGATCTCTCTGTAATTGCTATGGGCCCGAAGAAAACTACCCATATGAAAAGGAAGCATTCTAAAAATGGGGGAATGCTTTTTAAAAATTATTTTTATTGATATTAAAGAGGAGGAGGGGAACGAGGAGGAGGAGGAGGAGAAGGAGGAGGAGGAGAAAAAACATCGATGTGTGAGAGAAAAACATCAACTGGTTGCCTCCTACATGTGCCCCAACCAGGGATTAAACCTGGTGTCTCACTGGCCAGGCCAAAAATGGCCCAGGGTTCAGGCTCAATCCCCAGTGAGGGTGTGCTGGAGGCAGCTGACAGACAATTCTCTCTCATCATTGATTTTTCTGTATATCTCTCTCTCTCTCCCTTCCTTTCTGAAATTAATAAAAATATTTTTTTAAAAAGAAAAAAGAATCACTCTCCTTTTTTTTTTTTTTTACAAAAAAAGTCTTTACAGGGCCAGCAGTATGGTTCCAGAAATAATTCAAAGCCCACCAAATCATACTTGGGCCTTATTTTAAAATGCAAGTTTCTGGGAGGTAATCCTTATTGAAAGGAAAAGAAAAAAGAAAAAAAAAACAACACACCTTAGCCATTTGAGTGGATCTAAATTAATGTAGTATTTCAGATGTTAAACATTAATTGCTAGACAAGACTGAATTTCACCTACTTTGAGTGTTTTATTACAAAAAAAAAAGGCTAGAAAATAGATTTGAAGTTTTCAATAAATATATTACATTTGATTTTAAAAAAATGTCTCTTTGAAGTGACCCTAGCTGGTTTGGCTCAGTGGATAGAATGTCAGCCTGCATACCGAAAGGTCCCAGGTTCAATTCTGGTCAGGGGCACATATCTGGGTTGCGGGCTCGGCCCCCAGTTGGGGGTATGCAGAGGGAGCTAATCAATGGATCTCTCATCATTCTCTTCTCCCTCTTTCTTCCTCTCTGAAATCAATAAAAATATACTTTAAAAAAAAGTTTGAGTGTGTTTGCCAATGGAGAAGTCCAATATGATATATATTTGCTAATCTAAATGCCAATTGCTTACTTTTTAGTAATCACTAAAAATTAAATTTCCTAAGAGTTAAGAATTCAAATTAAATTAGAAAGAAATTGTATGGTTTGATGATAGAAAGTATAAAGTTTGGAGATATTTTTTAAGGAAAAGGAAGAAAATTGTTTTAAAGTTGGTTATTTCTGAATGGGTAAGAAGGTTTGTGAAAGTTGTAGAAGGTTTGTGAAGAGAAATCTTGAAAACAAATTATATAGGTAAGCTGAATGATGAGCTAAATTATATAAATGAATTTAAAGATCAAAAGAAAACTAATACAGAATTAAAGTTTTGTTCTTTTCTACTTTATTAAAAGTGCAAGGATATTCCTCTTGCTTTCTAGATATAAGACTTATTTTTAAAGCAATTTGGTAAATTATATATTTTCTCCCTACCTCATTCCTCCAGAACTTAGCAATTCTTATTGAGTGAGCCATGGTAATACATTTCTTTGCATGAATTCAATAAGACCAGTTTCCAATTGTACGTAGTTTTATCAACCAAAACTTTGACTGGAATGTCATGTCTGAGAGAGATTGTTAGCCATGCAGGTTAGACCCCCTGACTTTCCTCCCTAAAGATAACATCTAGGCCTCAGTTGTGCTTCAGCTCCAGGCCCAGGAAATCAGCACAAGCAGACAAGTGACGCTGTGGCTGCCTCAGGACCAGCTGCCAGGACTAATGATCCCCGGCATCATCAGTGGAGAACACACCCCTGGAAAACTGATGACTATTCTGCCAAACCTCCCCTAGGACCCTCCTGCCTTCAATGTCTCTGCAAGAGAAAGAAAAATACCCTCAACACAAAGGACCCAGTGTGCACTCTCCTTCTGGGCAAGAGGCCCGGGCCTTAGCTGCCTCCTCTCTGTCCCTCATAGGCATGCATCCCTAAGGCAGTGCTCTTCCAGGCATGCATCCCTAAGGCAGTGCTCTTCCAGGCATGCATCCCTAAGGCAGTGTTCTCCCAGGCATGCATCCCTAAGGCAGTGCTCTTCCAGGCATGCATCCCTAAGGCAGTGTTCTCCCAGGCATGCATCCCTAAGGCAGTGCTCTTCCAGGCATGCATCCCTAAGGCAGTGCTCGGCTAACTGAGGCTCTTGAGCCATATGCGGCTTTTTGGCCCCTTGAGTGTGGCTCTTCCACAAAACACCACAGCCTGGGTGAGTCTATTTTGAAGAAGTGGTGTTAGAAGAAGTTTAAGTTTTAAAAATTTGGCTCTCAAAAGAAATTTCATTCATTGTACTGTTGTTATTTGGCTCTGCTGACTAATGGGTTTGCCGACCACTGACCTAAGGCATGCTAAGCTTGCCCACGTTTCACTGTCCTGAGTGGCGCTTTTGCTGCGGTCAATAAATTCTTGCTTGCTTTGCCGATTTTTGCCTCTTGGCTAAAATCTTTCCTTCAAGAAGGCAAGAACCGATGTCTCATCGTTGTCTAGCTGGTAATAGGAGCTGTGGGGATGGAAACAGGTGGCTGAATCTGAGACCTGGTTGGAGGTTGCAATGTCAGGGCTCACTGAAAGGTGGGATGTGGAGGACAAGATAAAGGGAAGGTCCAGAATGGCTCCCAGGCCCTGAGCTTATTTAACTGTATGGACAGTGGTTCCACTCCATGACTTTGAGTTCCAATTAAAACTTAAAACGCACACATGAATACACACATGCAGATACCACACCTGCGCACACATGTGTACACACGTGCAAACATCCACGTGTATGAACACACACATGTGTGCTTCCACCTGCACACACCTCCATGCGCACTCATACATGTACATATACAAACAGCATACACATGCATGCACACACTCGCACACAATATGCATGTACACTCAAGCATATACACAGCCATCTATATGTGTGCACACACAAAAAACACTCTTGTATTTTCCATGTCTCAGTCTAAAATACTACATATTATTCTCTTATGTATTGGGCTCATTGTCTTTCTCACCTGACTATAATAGGAGCTCTGTAGGACCATTGACCTCTGTCTGTCTTGTTCATGGCTGTGGCCCCACACCTGGAACAGTGGCACATAGGAGATGCTCAATTCATATTTGGCAACCAAGTGAATGAAGTGGCCAGAAGGGAAAGCTGGGACCTCTGCTCTCTGATCCCCACCTGAGTCACATCTTCAGCTGCCTCTGGAAAGTATGAGCGACGGCATGAGTGAGAGTGAGATGGGGCCAGCGGGGGTGTGGTGACAGGAAGGAGAGGAGGGCAAGGGGGAAAGAGGAGGGGCCAAGCCACAGCTCTAAAGGCGGCCCCGGGACCCACGGGTGCCTGTCTGTAGCGTGCGAAGCCCAGGAGCGTTGGGCAATTGTGGTTTTCCTCCCAGCCCGCAGGACCCAGCCGTGCAAGCCTAGCCTGGGCATCTAGAGCCTCATCCACGTAGGCATGGAGGAGACAGTGGTGCGGCCCTCGGTGTTCGTGGTGGACGGACAGACGGACATCCCGTTCAGGAAGCTGGAGCGCAAGCCCCGGAGACAGGCTTGCAGCGCTGCCCGGCTGAGTCTGGTCCTCCTGCTGCTGCTGCTTGTGGCCGGGCTGGCCCTACAGGGGTGGTTTCTGCTGCACCTGCACTGGCGCCTGGGACAAATAGTCACCTCATTGCCGGTGAGTGGGGGCTGGGGGCCAGAGGTAAGCAGGTCTCCTGTGTCCCTGTGTGTCTCTCTTTGTGCATGGCTGTGCGGGGCGGGGGCCAGACTCAGAGCAGCCCCAGGCAAGTTCATTCATCTCCCTGGGCCTCAGTTTCTTTATCTGTGAAATGGACATAAAAATAAGAGTGTTTGCCTCAGAGGGAATAAAATGCGTGCCCATGGTAGCTGGCATATAGCAAGAGTTCAACCAATGGAAAGCATTCTTCCTTTTCTTAAAAAAAAAAAAAAAAAAAAAAAAGTAAGATATAACTGCCCTGGCCAGTATGCCTCGTTTGGTTGAACATTGTCGCATGTACTGCAAGGTCGACGGTTCAATTCACTGTCAGGGGCACATGCCCAGGTTTCAGGCTCGATCCCCGTGCTGCGGTGGATCAAAGTTTCTCTCTGTCTCCCTCTCCCTTTATCTCTCTCCAATCAATAAATACATATTTTAAAAAATAAAATTAAGATATAACTGACATACAACACTGTGGAAATCTAAAGTGTACAACGTATTAATTTGATACATTTATATTACAGTATGATTGCTATTATGGCGTTAGCTAGCTTCTGTATGGTGTCACTTGATTATCATTTCTCTTAGTTTGGGAATAATTCGGATCTAGTCTCTTAGCAAGTGTTTATAAAACAGTTTTGCTGTCTGTAGCCCCTGGAATCTACACGACTTGCATAGTATTTATTGGCGATTCTTGATCACTATTATTGGGATTGCCGCTAATCCACTTTGTCCAGGTGGCTGAAAATCTCTCTGCATCCGTTTCCAGTTGGCCGTGGATGTGACTGTCTGTCTGCTGGCCATGCCTGTAGGTCTGTGTGTCTTATGCTATGCCCATGTGGTTAAGACCTTGTGCCCTGTGTCTCCAGGTCATTTATCTTTGTATCTGGATCTGGTGGCCACGTGTGCAAGTCCATGTGGACTGTACTGCTGTCCTATGTACACACACACACACACACACACACACACACATGTCCACGCACCTGCCAGTCCACAGCCCATGGATTGATGTTGTTTTTGTTTCTGGGTCTCTGTGTGTCACAGACCCATCTGGATCCATAAACCAGGCATCCATGTGTGTGGATCCACATGTGTCTGTCAGTGATACCTAAGTGTCCAGTGTCATGTGCCCATATCCACATGCTGGCATTTATGTCCACAGGTCTATGTATCTTGAACATTATTTATTGAATAAATACTTGTAGAGTGCTTACTGCGTGCCAAGGGCTGTAATATACTTCACACATATGAATTCATTGAATCCTTGGCAGGCACTCTTCATATGCCCATTTACAGAGAGGAAAACTGAGGCACCATGTGTTGATGAGGTTACTGTGTGGTGTGTGCATGTGGCCCTGGGTGTGTACTAGTATCTGAGGGTGATGCTGGACGCATGATCTGCATGTGAGTCTGAGTGATGCCAGGGGAGGGGCCCCACAGGTCCTTACTCTGGGCTCCTCTGCATTTTCAGGAGAGAGATGCAGGATCCTGGGAGCAGCTGACGCCAGGTGAGTCAGGGTGCTGGTCCCCGGGGAGGGGCATCGGATGGTTCCCACGCTGCCTCCACCCCCATTGCACAAGGGACAGAAAGTCCCACAGGTGCCCCTCCCCCAATCCTGAGAAGCAGAAGTTTGGGTCACTCCGGAAAGGGTGGGGTTGACACCAGTAAGTGGACTTGATGAACTCTGGGAGACTGGCCCTTACCTGCCTTCACCTCTGACATCTGACTCTCTCTCCAGAGGCAAGGTCCCACAAGACGAACCCGGCAGCACATCTGACAGGTGAGGGGGACCCCGGGTCCTGGCAAGGGGTGAGGGTCAAGGTGTCCTGGGAAGACCAGACAGACACACAACATGTCAGAGTATTCATTCATTCACTCACTCACTCAATATTTATTCAGAGTCACCCAGAGCACAGGCACTGCCTGGGTCCATGTATTTCTAACTTTATTCATTGAATAAACCTGTAAACAGGGCTCACACACGTCATGCACTAAATACCCTTTATACATATTAATTCATTAACTCCTAAGCAGATACTCTCCATATCTCCATTTTATTGAGACAGAAACTGAAACACACAGAGGTTTTAAGGATGCTAGGCCAGGGTGGGTTCTGCCTTCATTCCCCAGTCTGCCAGTACAAGGTGTTCTCTCGTGTGTGTGTGTGTGTGTGTGTGTGTGTGTGTGTGTGTGTTTATTTCTATTTTTTTATTTTTTTACTGATTTCAGAGAGGAAGGGAGAGAGAGAGAGAGACAGAAATATCAATGATGAGAGAGAATCATTGATTGGCTGCCTCTTACACACCCTATACTGGGGATTGAGCTGGCAACCCAGGCATGTGCCCTGACTGGGAATCAAACCATGACCTCCTGGTTCATATGTCGATGCTCAACTACTGAGCTACACTGGCTGGGCCACTATGAGGTTTTTGTGTGTGGTGTTTTATTTGTGGTAATCCTCACCAGAGGTTATTTTTTTCCACTGATTTTTAGAGAGAGTGCAAGGAAAGGAGGAAGGGGGAGAAGGAGGAGAGAAGGGAGAGAGAAGAGAGATCAATTGTTTGCCTCCAGCCTGAAGCCCAAACCCACCGGGTCTCTTGACTTGGGAATCAAACCCATGACCCTTCAGTGCTTGGGGTGGATGCTCTAATTACTGAGAAACACTGGCCAGGGCAACCACTACCGTTTTGGTGCTTTTCTCAAGTCACTTAATTGCTCCATACCTCGGTTTTCCTGCCTATCAGAGGGCAACGAGACGAGTTAATATGTATAAGAAGCAAGTGACTTCACTGCTCTGTGCCTTGATTTCCCAACCTGCCAGAGAGGATGAAGTGAGTTCATACGTAGAAAGTTCTCAAACAGCCTAGCACAGAGGCAGAGGCTCAGAGAGGGGCGGAGGCTCAGAGAGGGGCGGTGACTGGCCTAAGTTCACACAGCAAGTTTGGGACATGTGCTGAGCAGTTCCCTTTGTCTCCCTCCCCAGGGGCCAACTTCAGCTTGACCAGCAGTGGGGGCCCGCTGCTATGGGAGTCGAAGCTGGGCCTGGCCTTCTTGAGGAACCTCCGCTACCAAGAGGGTGCCCTGGTGATTGTCCAAGCCGGCTACTATTATATCTACTCCAAGGTGCAGCTAGGGGGAGTGGGCTGCCCAAAGGGGCTGGCCAGAGGCCTGCCCATCACCCACGGCCTCTACAAGCGCACACCCCGCTATCCCAAGGAGCTGGAGCTGCTGGTCAGCAGGCAGTCAACCTGCGAGCAAGGGACTGGCTCCCGCGTCTGGTGGGACAGCAGCTTTCTAGGTGGCGTGGTGCACCTGGACGCAGGGGAGGAGGTGGTCGTCCGGGTGCTGGAGGAGCGCCTGATCCGGCTTCGGGATGGTACACGGTCCTACTTCGGGGCCTTCATGGTGTGAAGAATGGAGCAGTAGCCGGTTGACAGGGGGTCTGACTGGAGAGGTGCCTCAGGAGACAGACAATCCAGCTAGTAGAGACCTCTCCAGAACTCAGCACTTGGGGAGCCAGCAGGCACCTCAAGGGGCCAAAAACCCAGCCACCCCTAGAGCTTGGAGACATTGCTTGATAACCACGTGTGACACAACACAAGTTATCAACACAACCCCACACACCCACACAGGCTGAACAGTCACACACATGATCATCACATCAGACTTCCACATGCCACGTCACAGTCAGACTCATCACACACACACAGCATCATGATCTCACACACACACACACACACACACACTCACACACACACACACACACACAGCCTGAGGTTCCTATCAGCCAAGATGAACACATCCCGGGTAAGGACCAGACATTGTCTGTAACCCTGGGCCTTTGACTGCTGGTCTTGGAATAAATGGCAAATGCTGCATCTTGGTCAACCTCGTCATAAGGCAAGAGTGGCTTGTAGAGACAGAGGGATCGATGGAATGACTCACAGACATCACTTTATGGATAAGAACCCTGAACCCAGCTGGCTCAGCTCCATGCAGGAAGCTTGGGGGAAGCAGAGACTGCATGCCCAGGTCTGCCTTGCCCTCCAATCCACGACTCCTGAGGTCGTGAAGACTACCTCCTGCCCAGCACCCTTATTGCAGGCATCGGTACAGAGTGGCATACCCTCGGCGTTGTGGAAGCTCGGAGTGACTGGGGGCACAGGAAGAGTGTCGGGGAGAGGAAGTGATGATACGCATAGATGGTCTGTGCAAATGAACATATACTTTGTTGGGATTGGAGGGAAGTCTTATTTCCAAGGAGCCTACGATGAGGGCTGGGACCCAGAGGTGAATAAATTATTATTTTATTGTCATTGTTGTCTGGTACAGCAGCGAAGGAAACAGGCTTTGCAACCTGATACTCCTAGGTTCCAATTTCACTCCACCACATCCTGGCTGTGTGTCTCTGAGCAAGTCCTATCACCTCTCAGTGCCTCAGTTTTCTCTTCTGCAAAATGGGAGGTCACAGCAGTGACCTCGGCTCGTTGAAAAGATGAAATCAGATCAGACCCAAGAAGCCATTGGGTATGGTGCCTGGAACACAGTCAGAGCTCCATAAGCGGTGTGTGCCATAAGTGAGTTAGAAATACAAAGAGCGTTTCTCGGGCACTCTCCCTATACCAGACATCTCCTGTCAGTGCCTGGGCAGGAGCCATTGCTGTCTCCATGTTCCTGGTGGGGAGACAGAGGCGGGGATGCTACCCCCACCTCCACCTCCACTCCTATTAAGGACGCAGGGCTTCATGCCTCTGTGCCCTTACTGGGCAGGTGGGAGGTGGGACAGCCCCAGATGCAGAGCCCCAGCCCCCGCTGGAGTTTCCTTTACTCTCATCATGGTCTTTCTGTTTCCGTGGCTTTGTGCAGAGACCAAGGTGTGGGGCCAATGTATTTATCTCAGCCACCAACTTCCGCTTGGGGATGGAACTCTCACTAAATTTAATCTTTAAAGATCATTCCATCCAGCCTTGAGGTGAAGGAGAGGAAGAGAAAGTGTAGGTAAGGAGGATGAGTAAGGGTAGGAGGGATGTGGAAAAGGAAGGATGGAGGGGAAGAGGAGGGGAAGGAGAAGGGAAAATCTGAGAGAGCTCTGTGGCTGTGCAGGCTGCTGCAGCAGGACACCTAGACCAGTTTCAGATAATGTGTGGGGGCAGGAAGTCCCAGCTCAAGCCACTAACCTACTTTTTAGTAGAAGTTAAACCTACTTGATTTCTGCTTTTACCTCCTGGGCTCCGGTCTTTACCAATTTCAACCTCTCTTCCGCCCCCAATAAACCCTTCCTCAAGCCCTCTCAGCCCCGAGGCAGGAAACCCTCCCCTGCCCCCCTTCTTTTCATCTCTTATCAAGATTTTAGAGGTGGTAAAAGTGAAAATAATGATGATAAAGTCACTTATTAATTTTCTATTATGAAGCTGTGCCCCTCCTGCTACGTATAACTGCAGTCAAATACGGAAATGCCTCCTCTTTGAGAGACAGAATGGTTCTTAGGCCAAAGCCTGTGTTCAAAGCCCTACTCTGACACTTCAGGGCTGCATTGATCTTGAAATGCAGCTATTGTTGGCTTCTCTGGGCCTCAGTTTCCTCATTTGTAAAGCAGGAGGCAGAGTGGCCTCTACGTTCCTCTGATTGTTGTAAGATGAAATGACTTGAGTCTTTAAGCATTTTTACAGAGCTGGACCCACAGGGAACTCGATAGTTCTTGGTAGATTGAGGATTTTGTAAGCATGCTTGTAATCACACATACACACACATTTACATTTTGAATTCTTTCCAGCTGTTATGTCTAAGGTTATCTTTCATCCACAGGCTTCATGTAGTCATTGAGTGCGTTTTTAAAATGGGAATTGGTAGCCAATATTTAAACATTATGAAACTTGTCAAATGGACCAATACAGATTTCTGGATTTACTTGGAAAGTTGGAAATTATGACAATGACCTAGGTTGGGGTGGGTAGAGGCTGTCCCCTTTGGAGAAGGCATGAGCTCAACAGCTCACCGCAGTCTCCATCCCTCCCAGTTGTCTCTCACACAGAGGCTGAATGTCAGTTGCCTTTCTTCAGTAGAGTGTGAGGTTGTTGGGTTTTTTTATTCTTCTTAAAAATTATTTATTGATTTTTTTTTGAGAGAGAGAGAGAGAGAGAGAAACATCAATGTGAGAGCAATACATGGACTGACTGCTTCCTGCATGCCTGTTGCTGGGGATCAAGCCTACAACCTGGGAACATGCCGTGACTGGGAATCTAGTTGGCAATCTTTCTGTGCAGTGAATAATGCCCAACCAACTGAGCAACACCAGCCAGGTGCTGGCATTGTTTTTCTTAAATTAATAATCATCATTATTATAGTATGCTTCTAACGTATTCACTGGGTGCCAGACACTGTGCTAAGTGCATTAATTCACAGTAACTCATTTCATTCTCACAGTCACCCTGTTATGATGACCATTTTATGGATGGCAAAGTCCAGACACAAAGAGGTTAGAAAAGATGAGACTTAGAGTGAGAAGATAGATGACAATCTAAAATGACCATGGGTTTCAAGAAAATGTGAGTGTATAGTTGTATTAGTTGACTATTGCTGCTGTAACAAATCCCCACCAACTTGGTAACTTAAAGCAATACGAATGTATTATCTCAGTTCTTGGAGGTCAGAAGTCAGATGTGAGTATATAGGATTAAAATTGAGATGTTGGCAGGAAAAATTTACCCCCAAATCCTTTTCCTGGGTCTGATTCTGTGGGAGCCCAATGGACACATGTATGGAACACATGAATCTCAACACACCAGAATTTAAATAATGTAACTTTCTTTTTGTTCTGAATACAATTTAATTTATGCAAAGATCCCTTTGCACCAGGGCGCTGGGAAGTTGATAGCAGTCGACTGGGAACCAATCCTTCCCACATGTTCCTTTCCCAAGACTGTCAAAACTCCAGTGAACTCAGGATATGCCAAGGCATTCAGGGTGAAGAAGGGGTCAATCTGATCGCTGGCCTACACATCCACACATGTGCCCAGCATCAATCTGCTGCTGCTGCTTTTTTTAATGTATATATATTATTGATTTCAGAGAGGAAGGGAGAGGGAGAAATAGAAACATCAATGATGAAAAAGCAGCATTGATCAGCTGCCTCCTGCTCACCCCTACTGGGATGGAGCCTACAACTTAGGCATGTGTCCTTGAGCCGGGATCCTTCAGTCTACATGGCCGACTCTCTATCCACTGAACCAAATTAGCTAGGGCTCAATCTGCTTCTAATCCATCAGCCTTCCACTTGGAACTTGTGACCTGTCAAGAAGGGTGCAATTTCTGCTCCTCCCTATAGTTCAGTGGTTCTCAAACCTTCCTAATGCCGTGACCCTTTAATGCAGTTCCTCATGTTGTGGTGACCCCCTACCATAAAATTATTTTTGTTGCTACTCCATAACTGTAATTTTACTTCTGTTATGAATCATTATGTACATATCTGTGTTTTCCGATGGTCTTAGGCGACCCCTGTGAAAGTGTTATTCTATCCCCCAAAGGGGTCGCGACTCACAGGTTAAGAACTGCTGCTATAGTTGGTGATAAGGCTGATCTGGGGCCAGGAAACTCTGAAGCAGCCTGTGGTTTCAACTGCCCAGAGACACCATTGAGTCATTTCCTTTTTGGGGACCTGCAGCACCTCTGGGCCCTGCATTGGGGTCCATCCTAGCACTTCTCTGGGGAACTTTCCATGTTTCCAGTGCTCTTTTTTGGTTTTCCCCAAAAAGCAGGGCACAAGAACTTCCTCCCTATTATGGGTGCTGGACTGTACCCCCTTAAAATTTATATATTGAAACTCTAAGCCCCAATATCTCCAAATGTGACTATAGTTGGAAATAGTGCCTTTAAAGGGAAAATTAAGATAAAATGAGGTCATTAGAGTTGGCCCTAATCCAATATGACTGGTGTCCTTATAAAAAGAGATCAGGTCACTCACACACAGAGGGAAGGCCCACAAGCCAAGACTGCAGAAGGAAGCCACCCTGCCCACACTTTGTTCTCAGACTTCCAGCCTCCAGAACTGTGAGAGGCTAATTTCTGTTGTGTACGCCCTCTAGTTTGTGGTACTTTACTATGGCAACCCTAGCAAACTAATAAAAGACTTCTCCTTTTTCCACAAGTCCCAGGCCATCTTGTTCTTGACTGAGAGGATAGGAAGAAGCATTAGAATTGGGATCTTTATAAGCGAAAGAGAGATGCAGAGGCAGAGAAGTTGTGCAGTGAAATCAGAGGTTGGAGTGATGGGTGCAATTGCCGGGGGAGGGGGATCCACGGGCCAGGAATGCAGGTAGCCTCTGGAAGTTGGAAAAGGCAAGGAAATAGACTCATCCCTAGAACTTCCGGAAAGAATGGCTCAGTGGATAGAGCGTCTGCCTGCGGACTGAAAGGTCCCAGGTTCTATTCCGGTCAAGGGCACGTGCCTTGGTTGCGGGCACATCCCCAGTAAGGGGTGTGCAAGAGGCAGCTGGTGATTGTTTCTCTCTCATCGATGTTTCTAACTCTCTATCCCTCTCAATTCCTCTCTGTGTAAAATCAATAAAATATTTTTTAAAAAGAGAGAGAGAATATAGCCCTGCTGACACCTTGATTTTAGCCCAACAAAACTGATTTGGACTCTGACCTCTAAGACTGGAAGATAACTGATTTGTGTTGTTTTAAGCTTCTGAATTTTCAGTAACTTGTTACAGGAGCATTGAATCTGTAGGTCAAATTGGAGGATATTGATATCTTTATAACATTGAATCTTCCAGTCAATGAATATGGTATGATTCTCCTTTTAATGCATCTCAATAATGTTTCATACCTTTCTTCACAAATAATTTGAACCATTTTTAGATTTATTTCTAAGTGTTTTACATTTACCAGTGTTGTTATAAATGGCATCTTTTTAAAATTATATTTTCTAATATCTGTTGCTAGTATATTCAATGCAATAGATGTTTTAGTCATCATAATGACCACAAATGGAAGAAAGCAAATAACTGCATATTGAGCTCAAAATCATGGTTATAAAGTTTTTCAAGAATTTTCTAGAAAAAACAATAAATTTAGTGAGACCCTCAAGGATATGAAAAAGGACCAACTAGAAATTAAGCATACACTAACTGAAATAAAAAATAATATACAGAGATCCAACAGCAGACTAGAACATTACAAGAATCAAGTCAAAGATTTGAAATACAAAGAAGTAAAAAACACCCAACTGGAAAAGCCAAAAGAAAAAAGAATCCAAAAATATAAAGATAGTGTAAGGAGCCTCTGGGACAACTTCAAGTGTACCAACATCCAAATT